GGGCACTGGGAGACGGCCACCCCGGCGGTCAACGTCATCCGCGGCAGCAACGACACCATCCACGACTTCTATGGCTTTCCCAAGCCCATGGTACCAGGTCGGCTCGATGCCTCTCTCTCTCTCTCTCTCTCGGGCAAAGCCCCTGACCGTTCAGCTAATTCCAACAAAAGTTCAGCAAAAGAACTAAACAGAACAGCTAAGAGACCAAAGAGGATAAACGCCACCTTCAGGGCCTGAGCTCAGACTTTCAACTCAGGTGACACGCCCTGGGCCCTCCATCATCAGGTTGAACCATGTCTTCTTGTTTGACAGCACGTCGGTCTTCAGTTTACCAGAGATTCTGTTCTTCAGCTCCACAGGGATTTGTCCCATTCATCTTCAACTTGGTCTAGCCACTCAATCTTGTTGGTCTTGTAGCCAAGCATTTTAGCTCCTCCAGCCTCATTAGAGAACTCTGTTTTCTTCATTTGTGGGCAGAGCAGAGCCTAGCCTTGAATCAGTACTGCTATGTTCATAGGAACCGACCTCATGTCTTTCCAAGCTAAACCCTGAAAACAAATCTCATTTCTCAGTTTCCAGAGCCCCCACAGGGCAGCAGCACTGAACATATTACAAACTAAGAAGTTATTATTACTACTCCATAATTGACCAATAGATAAAATAAAAAAACCAGTGCCTAGACTTCTACCAAAAATGTCAGACATGACAGTCCAAAGCTGTTTGGCAACAACACAGTCTAAGAATTGCTCTGACTGAAGTCTGAAGTTTCCTTCAAAAAAGAAAAAAGGTCTGAATCTGATGTTTCCCCGTCGATCCTTGATGAATGAACTCGTTGTCCCATCATTCAGCTCAAGTACCCCGCTCCGGGCGCCCCGGACATAGCCCTGCGGACCAAGGAGCTCCTGGAGCAAGCCGGGTTCGGCCCCGTGAAGGAGGACCACAGCCGCGGGCTGGACCACGGCGCCTGGGTGCCGCTGATGCTCATGTACCCGGACGCCGACATCCCCGTGTGCCAGCTGTCGGTGCAGACCGGCCGCGACGGCACGTACCACTACAACCTCGGCAAGGCGCTGGCGCCCCTGCGGGAGGAGGGCGTCCTCGTCCTCGGCTCCGGCAGCGCCACGCACAACCTGCGCAAGATGGGCGCGTTCGACGCGCCCGTGCCGCAGTGGGCCGCCGAGTTCGACGCCTGGCTCAAAGACTCGCTCCTCACCGGAAGGTAAACCGAACCAACCTGAATGAAAACTGCCCTGCTGCTGCTGCTGCTGCTGATCCGTCCAGTCGCCGCCGGCCTTGGCTATCGATCAGGTACGAGGACGCGAACCGGTACGAGGAGAAGGCGCCGCACGGGAGGGTGGCGCACCCGTCGCCGGACCACTTGTACCGGCTGCACGTCGCGCTCGGCGCCGCCGCCAAGGCGGAGCAGATCCACCAGTGCTGGACCAACGCCACCATCTCCTACGCGTCCTACAGGTTCACCACCAATAGCTGATCGACGCGCTCGTGCTGTCGCCTGTCGGTGGAACACCACCGCCCCGCCCGGCAGCTGTTGAATTCGTGGGCATCCGTCGATGGGCGTGACAGCATATACACGCACGCATGTACAACTGTGTTTCTAATAAACCCCCGTGTGCCACCCTTCGCATCGCAGTAGATATCTGTTTGTTGGTGCTTTGCTCAGCAGCTTGTTTTCCAGAAGCATTCTGTTGTTAATTAAACACTTGTCTCATTCCATCACCATTGTCTGTCTCGAGTGATGCATCATGTGTCTTTTCGAAAAATACTGTGGGTACGTCCAGCCGTCCGGACGTTTGCGTTGGTGGGCCTCACCACCGCCCAAACGGCCCAACACCGCCACTCGTCCGGACGCTATCTCGCGTTGTTTAATAAAAAAAGTCCGCTCTTTACTTTCCTCTCAAATCGCCATCACTCCTGCACTCATTCTCGAACTCACTCTCGAATCGCCGCCGTGCTCCACCACGGTGCTCTCCACCGTGCTCGGCCGACCACCATCCTTCCTCTCCACCACGCCCGAGCGCTGCCGCCCGCCTTAATCCCTCTCTACCACTCTCACGTCCATCGCGCGGTTTCCGTTCTGCATCACAACCGCCCGGTAGCTTCTATCCCTTTCCGACGACGGCTCGTGCCAGGAGTGTCGACCGGTAGGGCCTTCCCCCGGCCCTCTCTCTCTCCACTGGAGTGACCTATCGCAACCTTCTCCACCGGAGCGACTATCTCCGCGTTACCGGCGAGCTCTACACCAGTGAACTCTACACGTCGACGATCCTCCATTCTCCCAAGCAGCAAGGAGATGTTGCGTTGAAACCGCATGTTTCAAATGTATGTTTCAAGTGTTTTAGATGTTTCAGAGTTATGTTGCAAATATTTCGTATGGATGTTGCAAAAGTATATCGGGATGTTGTATATGTTGCAATGGTTGTACACGTATGTTGCAAACGTCTGTTTCCAATGTTTTATCTGTTTTTAGACGTATGTTGTAAGTGTGTTTATCTAGATGTTGCATATGTTTTATACATATATTGCAAATGTTTTATCTGGATGTTGCGTATCTTTTGCAATAGTTTTTAAGTGTTTTTCCGGTGTGTTTTGCAAATGTTTCAGACGCATGTTTCAAGTGTTTCATCTGTCTTTAGACGTATGTTGCAATTGTTTACATCTAAATGTTTCAAACGTAGATCGGGTGTTGCACATGTTGCAATGTGACTCATCTGCCAAAGCCTCATGCTATTGCTAGGGCGGCGTCGTGGATCACCGTGCGGGCGCCTGAGGCTGGCAGACGCCTCGACGACGCGCATGGGGTGAGGCAGGCGTGGCAGGCGCGCTCCAGTTTTTTGCAGCGCTGCGGGGTTACGGGCGTGCTTTTTATTACGGGGATGGGACGGGGTGCGCTTATGTTACGTGGGGACGAGACAGGACAGGGCGCGGTGGATGCGCTCGAACAGGGACGGGACGGGACAGAGAGTGGTGAATGCGCTCGGAGCAGCGTCCGGACGCCTCTGCTGCCGTCGGCGCTAGCCCTTCCGGTGTCTTTCTGCCTTTTTTTTCACCCTTCTGCTTGCTTTGTGATCTTCTCTCGACCCATCACCTCAACTGGTCCATACTTTCCGAAAGACCGATCGTCATCCGGCACGGCAGCATGTGACAAAAGAAAGGAATCCATTGGTTTTGCCTTGACATCTGCAGATCCGGTCATCGGTTGCTGATGACGTGGTTCCTGCAAGTCTATCTATGGCCGAGTTTATCCACCACTAGGATGAAAACGGTACAAATATTTTCTGATCGTATTCGAGATCGAATTCGTGTAGAGAGGTTCAGATCTGTCCGTATTCGTGTCCGGATATTCAACATCCGATACCGTATCCGTATCCGTATCCGAATACTTAAATCACATATTTGTGATATTGATACCCAATAGTATTATATCCGACATAGTTGATATTATCCGTATTCGAATCCAAATTCAAATATAAATATGAAAACAAATATAACATCGGTGATATCCGTCCGTGTCCGATCCGTTTTCATCCACACAACACGGCCGGGCTGTCGTGTTCTCTTCTCTCCATCGGATACGGCGTGCACGGCCAATTCGACGGTTTCGGAATACCAGCAACGTACATGTCCGCGCTCACCTCTGCTCAGTAAAGAAAATAAGCAATATGGCTTCACGCATGGTTGCATGGCCTGACCTGTCACGCGCAAACAGATTTTCCATCAGGTGATGTCTTTGAACTTTGACAGCACTGATGAACGGCGGCGCGATTAAAATCTTTGGTAGAGTTCAACCCATATGTAACTACCACTAGCACTCATAAGAAATTTAGGACTCAGCCAATTTAGAAGATAACCGTGTTTGCCTTTCCACACTTAGTTTTTGACGATTAAACGATCCACCATCGACAACAACCATTAATTGAGAAAGACCACTTGATGACCAACAAAGGAGCCCATTTGTATAGTAAGCTATGGCAAAGATCATGGCGGACTGCAAGAGATGATTAGTGTGTTTAGTGCAAATTAGACCTAAAACACTTTCAATGGCGTCAAGAGATACCAAACGGCTCAGTGACATCCGCGACTTCATCTAGAAAAAAGATATATTTCCCCTTTTGGAAGCTCATGCATGTATGCCTGCAGAGTGCTCTCTTCTTCTTTTTTATTTCTCTATATATTGGTTAAGGTCTTGTTTGAATCCTCCCTATTAGTAGTTAGCTGCATTAGCTATATATAGGGAGATGAAATACCAATATCACAAAGTAGCATGATGCTGTATTGAGTCATTTTTACAAAAATGCAAATGACTTTATTAAAATTTTAAGATGCAAAGGCGAGGTGAGGGATCCATTTTTAACGTGGAGCTCATATATCTTTATAGCAAATATACATATGCTCAAATAGTAATAGAAGCTAGTATAGTTGAACTCAAACTACAACTTATTTTTAGCTTCATCATCATCCTATAGATATGAATTAGATTGGAAAGTGTAGGAAAAGGTTATCGGAAGTCCTAGCGTCCAGATGTCCGGACGGATACCCACGCCTGCTTCGTGTCGCACCCTCCACCCGCTCGGATTCGCACATTTTGTTTCCGCGCGGACGCGGGGACCGCCCGCGACGCCCGACTTGCCCCGCCCACGCCGTCTACCTACACGTGGGGGCCACCCGCGTCCCACAGTTTCCCACATGCACGCGGGGCCACCTGTGCCTTCTCCATTTCGCGCGTGCATGTGGGAATCCACACGTCACATGACTTCGTCCGTTCCATCCAAGAGTATATGCTTGAAACATGAAATACTTGCAACATGAAACACTTGATGCAACATACATCTGAAAACAGATGAAATATTTGGAACATATACTTGCAACATACTTGTGAAACATATGCAACATCCAAATAAAACACTTGCAACATAAGTCTGAAACAGATGAAACATTTTGTACAGACGCATGCGATTCACCTCGGCACAGCGGGAGAGGAGATGGAGGACGATGACATGAAGGAGGGCGCCGTGGTCACCAGGCCTGCCGCCACGGACCGAGTAGACTCGTCGACTGACGGCTCGCACGGGTACACTGGCATCGAGAAGGAGGTCTTCGGCCGTCTCCTGGGGAAGGGAATCCCCGAGGTCGTTTCAGACCCCGACGGCGGCCTTCGGTGAACAGCTCCACCGGCACTTCGAACGGCTGCCGCTGAGGTCAGCATCATCTTGTTGAATTCTTGATACATATGAGAATTTCTCTACGTAGTAGTAGTATATAGTAAAACATATGCTATGCCCGTGCATGGGTGCAGCTGAAAAATTTGCAAAAATGGGACTCCAAAGATTGACTCTTTGATCGATGTGAACGTGGACAAGGTGGAGGACGTGCTTCTGCACCGCAGGATCCTCAACGAGTGCGCCGACCCTGACAAGCGCCCCGTCTTCCATGTCCGCTTCTTGAACGTGAGCATATCACTACTCTACTGGATCGTTTCTCAACTCGATCGAGTGTGCTAGCTAGCCAAAGCGCGCCAGCACAGACAGACTGACTGACTGAGAGAGTATTAAGTGTTAGTAGCACTATACTGAAATCGTTAGTTGTTCTGCCTATCTGTATGAGCAGTGCATCCATGGCGCGGTGGTAGATTCACAAGACAACACATGGGCCTCTCTCACTTCCACTTCGAGGTACAGGCAATACAGCATATAGCCCACGCTCTTTGTGCAACACTTGCATGGTTAATAAATCCTTGATGATTGATATGATGTTAGCCTTATTTGGTGCAACTGAAACCAACCTCTTTGTCGTCTCTGGTTTCAATGACGGCGGCTGGGATCAACCTCTTTGTCGTCTGTAGTTTTGAATGAGCTTCCAATTCTGAAGAAAAACAAATTCTACATATCTTGCAGTGTTATATATTGCACATATAATCTGAATTTAGAGGATTTGAGCCATGAGAAAGGATGCATGACATCAGTTTAGAGATAAGAATAGTTGCGGATGACTCAGACCAGTTCCGCGAGGTCTTTTTGTCTACCTCGGATTTATTAGAGTATCTCCAAGAGTTTTCAAAATCCACCGCCAATCTTGATTTTTTAGCAAGATTGAAAAACTACTCTCTAACAACTCTCTATCTCAACTCTCAATCTTTCCGCACTTAGGAAAATTAATCCAATCACATGGAAATATACGCACACGTATCAATCGACCAATCTCGAGGTGGAAGGACGTGAGAAAGAATACGAGTAAAGACAGGGTTCCCAATGCAAATATACAAGAGAAAAAATTATACAAGTGGTGATTTGAAAATAGTCTGCGGTTAATAATGCAAAATTGTCTTATATGTTTTAGGAGCGAAATCTTAGAAATGGTTGGAGAAAAAAGTAGCCTTTGCCCAGCTCCTCCATCCCTCATCCAGACACGTGGGCTCACCCGGAGCTGCCCCTTCTCTATGCAGGCAATGCATGGTGGATGTAGACACTGGTCTCTGGAAGAGGCGAGGCGAAACAAGAGTAGCCGGGCCGAGGCGGAGACGCGCCGGGGCAGCATCAAGGCGGAGTAGTGAGGGTGCCGCGGGTGGGAGTCACACGTTGGGCGGAGAAACAGAGACGGAGCTAACTCGTGGGATCGTGTCGTGTCAGGGCATAGTAGTGGGAGTAGCGAAGTCACAGCATGGTAGTTGTGGCAGAACCGCCTAACCTAATGCCTCCTAGGAGTACTTGTCTTCCACTAGATACTAAGTACTCAAGGGAGGACATCAAATTACGCGGTTCCATCGGGCACACCCCAGGGAAGAACCCGAAAATCCATATTTTTCCATCAGGATCACAAATGAGAGAATAAAGCTTACATCATTATTAACCATTTCTTACATCACTTTTAATACAACATCAGAGTATAATATTTATTATTTATAATAGCAGAATATGAATATGTTATCAGAGTTATGAACAAATTAATTTAACAGCGGAATATAAACATGTGATCAGAGTTACAACAGAAATAAATATGATATCATGAAACATTGATATATAACATATGACAACAGGTTATAAAACTTCTGTTTATAAAAAACCCTTAGTGAGAGTTATAAGTAAACTACGATCGCAGCGCAAAGGAATCATCTCTGAGCCCACCAGGAGAAATCCACACACAAGGGCCAGCTCTAGCATCCACCTGTCACCTGCAATAGGGGGAAATAAAACCCTGAGTACTCAATTGTACTCAGCAAGACTTACCCGACAGGAGGAAAGAAAAGACTCTAAGGATATGTAAGGCTATCTGGCTTGTGGGTTTATTGCATCTACAGGAGCATTACTAAACGTGTGTCCTTATGTTTAATTTTATTAGCAGTCATCAATAGTTCATTAACTAACTATTCTAGGTAAGTACCTATGCTACTTTCAAGCAGGTGGTAAGCAATTAGAATCATTTTACCATCTTTCATCTTCCAGTTCTTACTACGGTACTAGAGTGTAGACAAGTCGTACCCCAAAAAACACACGTTCTGCTTGTACCCCAGGCACAAGCATGACCAACCCACTACCCTCCTATCACGGGGTTCAGGTCCCTGTCCAAACTTGGACTCCAAGCCCCCGTCCCTGAGTCCTAGACTCAGCGCGGTGCTAGGACCTCCTCCCAAAAACCACCCTAAAAGTCGGTCCGAAAAGAGCCAGAAACCATGACAAGAGAGTAACAAGTCTTTTCTGCGTTCATACACAAGTATGTGCTCGGAATAATAAGATTGTGACTTGCCTAGAGTCCAATGCAACGCCCGGTCCTTAACCGACACAGACAGAGAAAATAGTGTAACCAAGCTATGCCCCGTTAGCCGCAGGACACAATCTCTTACACCCACCAATACCCAAAACATATCCCTTCCAGGTCTCCATTTACCATTCATATATATATATATATATTCCAAGTGATAGTAATATAGTAACCAATAATATATTTCCTATCTCTCGCGAGTGACAGGCAATCACTCGACTTCTACCGGAGTCCTGTAGCATAGCAGTCTACACGATCCTGTCATACTAGTAAGACTCATAGGATATATATATATATGCAATTGGGTTTCAATCAACTCCTTAAAACTTAATGCACAAAGATAATTTAAAGTGCAGAAAAGTAGGGGTTATGCACCGAGGCTTGCCTGTGTAAAATATAATCAAAAGTTAGTATTCCTTCTTTGTGTCCTGATCCCTGGCACCATCTTTTCAGCTACTCTGTTTGATACCATCGATCCACCGTCGTTCCTATTATGATATGTATTGATGCAAATGCCGAGATGGTGCAACAATTAATTAACAAGGCAACAACAACTCTTAAAACAGAGTACATACTACGAGCTAACAAGTTAGCTCTAACGACTAACATAATAATCTACGTATCAACATCGTCGAGAAAGGTGTCATTTCCCAACAAGTATTTTAGTTATAAAATTTCAAGGTGTTTCTTTATTTCATTTATTTGATTTACTATATATTCGAACTATGGCTCATTTGCTATCTTGGCAATTTAATTATTCTAGAGCTAAAAAAATTACGATGAGCAGATAATAATATTAGTAATTTACTGTAAAATTTTCAGAGTCAACACTATCACCGATTTATCACGGAAATTCCTACAAATTCACCTTTTAACAATATTAAGCATGTTAAAATAATTAGAGCAACCCTAAAGACATACAAAACATATGCGAACGAAATACACTATCAGATAAACCATGATTTTAGAAACTTAACAAAATTTGTTTGACATTTTTATGATTTTTCTATGATTTACTACGAATTTTACAAGTTTCAGCCATTTAAAGGAATTAATAACAGTGATAAAAAGGAAAAAGGCCCAATCCGATGGGAGGCCAGCCCACGCAGCTCTTGCACTTTTACTTAATCCACCCCCGGGACATTAACACTATTCAAGTGAGTCACGGAAATTACGAACCCTGAACAAAGTTTCTACTTCGATTCTCACCCTTCTCTTCTTCTTCAACGAGCAGAGGAGGCACGGGACGGGCGCGGCCGGCCAAATCCCGGCCATCCTGCACACCCGCCGGTGGTGGGGAGACGGCGCGGGGCAGCGGCAGACCTGGACGCACATGGGTGTGGCCAAGGTTGTCCCCGCAGTGGCCCGCAGAGACGCGGCCATGCGCGCAGCGGTGGTCACGGGCGACTCCGGCCGGTGAGGTCCCAAGGTGACTACGTAGGGGGCGCGGCACCCAAGGGCCCGTGCGCACCCGCCAGCAGGGCACAGCTTGGGCGAAGGCGACCGGCCATGTTGGCCACGCGCGCCACTGGCCGCGGCGGCGGCGGCTTCGCCGGCTCTAGGCAGCAGGCGGTGGTGGTGCTGCGGGATGTGGTGGCTGGCGAGGGCGGGCTCCTCGGTACCGGGCGGACACGGCGCAGTCGACAGTGGCGCGCTGTGGGCTCGGGTGACAGCAGCGGCCGGCCACGCGCACGGCGTGCAGAGATCGTGACCACAGCAGCAGGGAAGGCGCTAGGGAGGCAGCGCCGTGGAGCAGTAGGTACCGCGCGGGACCGTGGGGCTTGCGCGCGTGCGAGGGACCGGCGACAGACGGCAGGAGGCGCGGCCTTGGCGGGTGCTGCGGGGCAGCGGGCATGGCGTGCGCCGACTCGCCCGAGACCAGCAGAGGGAGGCCCAGAAGGTGGGCGGGAAGGTGAGGGAGAGCAGCGCGTTGGGGTCGAGGCGCGCGGTGTTGTCGGAGATGGAAGGGAGGCCCGAGTTCGGGGTCACCAGCGGCCACACCAGGTGCGGGCAGAGGTTGTGGATGGTCAGCGTGGTCGCCGTCGTGGCGCCGGCGCCGGCGGCGAGGAGAACAGCGACGAGGACCAGGGTTCTGGCCATGGCCTTAACCTTCAGTCCTTGACAGAGCTGTGAGCTCGCTATAGCTGGTCGTGTTGTTAGGCGTGAGTTTGTGACACAATGGCAAAACATCAGACAGGTCTTCCTGGCTTTTATAGGCGAGCTTAGTGATGTGACGACGTCCATGAGAAGGGTCAAATTAGAGAAAAAGACCTTTAATGCTAGTACTAGTAGATTAACGGCTATGGTTTTCAATATACTCCTACGAGAGCTAGTATCGACAATCGTTTTATTTAATCAAAACGGGGGAAAAGAAGAGGTGCATAACAGCACACAACTTGAGTGAGGACATGGACAAAAGTAAAAGCAAGAGAACAAGATTGCTTCTTTACACTTTGCTGAACTGAAGGTGTGTTCACAAGTTTGCTTGATTCGATTCCATGTTTAGATAAAGTTGAGAAAAGAAAGAGCTCACTCTTAACGTACAGCTTGTGCTTATGCTCTAATCTGCAGTCTGCACTGAGGTTAGCAAGCTGAGAGCGTAAAACGAAAGACCATTCACACTTCACCATGGCATTCTCATATGCTCAACAAATGATATGATATGTTGGTAGCAGAAAGCAGATCTCCACACCATAGTACAATTCATAAACCACACCCAACTCAATTTGCCTCTGCCAACCCCTGC